TGGCCAAGGGTACCTGGAAGATCAATTCCTTTGCTCTTGTGGATCAGATCCCTCCTGCCAATCACAAAGATGTAAAGGCTGAAAAAGAGAAGAGGGAGGATACCTCGTCTGGCAAATCAATGAGTGGAGACGACTCTGATGATGGTAGCTTGGATGAAAGACAAATTCAGTGTTGCATTGAGTCCGATTTGGAATCTCCAGCCCCTACAAGCACGGCTCAAGATGAACCTCCACCTAGGAACAAATCATTTAAGAAGGATAAGGTTAAAGTCCTTTGTAATCGATCACCTGAACCAGAAGAAGACACTTCAAATCCAAAGTCTTGGAAACCTTTTCAAAAGTGAGCACGCAAGAGTGCTGCTCAGGCTGGGGAGGATTTCATAGATGGAATTGGTTTAATTTCAGATAAGCTCATCACATCCATGTCAAATGATACCAGCACTTTGGCTTCTAGCAGTTCAGCTCAGCCATACAATTTCCTCACCTCTGCTACTCAAGGATTACAAAAGCTTGGTTTAAGTCAAGATGAACTTTACAAAGCAATGGATTTATTAAAGAAAGATGTGGATTACGCTAAAATGTTTGCAGGTCTTGAAGCCAAAGAATTACAGTTGGGTTGGACCAGAGGAAAGTTGGCAGGTAACTAAATATATTTATTTTCAAACAAGTTGTTCTTCTGTTATAATCAAAAATGAATGTTTTCAATAAATTTCTGGTGCTGTCATACACATGTTTGTTTATTTAGTAAAAGTCAAGTCAACTGTTTGTATTATCTAAAGATGTGAAAGCTTCTTCTCCTTTCAAATGCTGCAGGAATCCAAAGTTTGAAATCTTGTGTGTTTTAATCAAACACGCTCTCTTGCAATATATTAGAAAAATCTTATCAAGACCAGAAAGCTAATTCATAAGACTGATAGTAAAAATGAGATACAAAAATAATAAGTGAGATTAAGATGGTGATAAGTAGGTAATAAATGATTTTTAAAATGTGATACATGTTTAATAAATGGGATCAAACTTGACATATATTTGTACACTTGGGATACAAGACTCTGATTAGAATATATACGTAAGTAAATTACATTCCACGGGCACGTCTTTGTTGGCAATACTTCCTCCACATTGCTTTGGCAATCTTTGTTTGCAATTTTCCAGTTTCAGTTGATTCTTCAGGTGTATTACCAGCAGCATGTAGCTCCTCTTGATTTACTTGAGGTTGATAATTGTTGTCAAATTCACCCCTAAACTGTTCATCTTCACCATCTTCTTTTCTAATAAAGTTATATATAAATGCCATCAGCAATACCAATCTGACTTGGATATGTATTGGATAATGTGAGCCATGCTCCATGACTTTGAATTTCTTCTTTGTTACTCCGAATATTCTTTCAATAAAGTTCCTCATAGGTGTGTGTCTTTTGTTGTAAAGTTCTTGATAGGTTTGAGGTCTATAATGCTGGAAAGTGTTAGTTTAGGATAAATCAGAAGAGAAAAATTGATGAGAGAAGCTTGTCGTACTCAGAGTTATCTCCCAAAAATTCTCGGAGATGATATCACACTCCTCTAAAAGGAGTTTGACACGTAAGACTTAGTGCAAAACCAGCATTGCCCAGTACGTATTTACCAGTAGGAATAGTAAAGTTGCCTTCGCGTGCATCATCCCAAAGCTTAATATCCGCAACACTCCCTTCCCAGCCAGCTAGAATGCAAGTGAAACAGAGGCTGAAGTCACAGGCTGCAAGTACATTTTGAGAGATGTTTCCTTTTCTGTTGAAGTAAGGCTTGGCATCTTGTGGTGATACATGAACAGGTAAATGAGTTCCATCAACAGCACCGACACAGTTCTTGAAGTAAGGATACCAGTCAGGGTTATCACAGATATTTGTTGACAGTGGAGTATCTTGTCGAGGGAGAGAAACATAAGAATGAACCAATGGTGTATTTGTGGTGATATCATTGGTTAATTTGTTGATGATCCTATAAAGACATAATTATCAGTCTATAAAAAATAATTATAAAGACACAATTGATTTACTTTGAGAATGTATCAGCAGACCTTTGAAAGCACTGGTTGAGCTTTGTATTAGAAAGTCCAGTGATATGAAAATAGAGCAAAAGAGCTAGTTGCTCTGTACTAGTAACATATCTGGTATCAGCGAGTGACCCAGAAGACTCAAGCCTTCCTCTTAGCTCCAGAAATACCGACTTCTTCATTTCCATGTTCTCCTGGAAGACCCCATCATGTCCGCATAGTAATTCATCAACCCACATCTGGCCGGAAAGGACTGATCTGATATGTGGACTTTTGACTATGGATGGCTTCAAGAATGTGTTATAATAGACTCTAGCAGAACCGATCAACATCAAGTGATGGAAGTATATGATATGACAATGTCGACGTTGCCAACGCTGAACAGCTTGAGCATTAAGCGTATTACTCATTTTGATTTTAAACTGATTCAATTATAATCAATCTGAAGAAATTGAATGGTGTATTCAAAGATCCGAAATTAAATTGATTTATTTATAATCAATATGAATGGATTGAATCAATGATTAAAATGATTTTGAATTGAATTGTTTATAATTGAAATCAAAGAATTGAATGGTTTCCAAAAAATAATTTAAATTGAATTCTTAATGATCATTAAGACAATGTTGATGGGATCAAATATGAGAGAGACAAAGGGGAAAAGAGTGAATCGAGTTATGTGTACTCGATTCACTCATTGATAAAAGTTGAACAACTCATAGATTCATTTTACCAAATGCCATCTCAAAAGAACTTTAATACATACACACATGGTGAGAAAATTTTCTCACTGTGATACAGAAGTTGTATATGTAACTCTATACAACTTTTGTTACCAAAGGGGGTGGTATGTAGTCAATCTTTTGAATGCTTTTGTCAATCTGGAAAAAGTTACAGCATGTATTACATATGAATAACTTATCCTGATGAGCAGAGAGCAGACTTGTATGTACATGATAACCACTTATCCACTGAGCCTGCTACACACATGTAGTGTGGGTTTTATGGCTCAGGTGTGTGTTGATAGATCATTTAATGACAAATCATACTCCTGTTCATTTTTTCCTGCCCACTTTGGGAAGTTGAATAATGTTTGCAGTGATACTCTGTTCATTTTTTCCCTTCACCATTTACCAAATTGAATCACTGTTTGTTTTTTTGCTGACCATTCCATGTTGATCGATACTTCCTTCTTCTCAAGAAATTTTCATTACAGTTCAAAAATTACAAAAAGGCCTGGAGCTCAGACAGAGACAGAAGAATCAAGTGAATTGAAAACAGAAAAAGCCAAGTGGACTGATTCCAAGTCCTCTTCATCCAATTATGGCCTGGGTAATTGTAACTCAACACTGGAATCTCAGTCCATATCAGACACCACAGGTGCAGATTTTGGTGGAACAGAGGAAAGTGTGATAAATGTGAAGGAAAGTTGAGGTGAGGATGGTTTGATGATGGTTTGGGTTTCCTACCAAACATATTTTTGGCAAAAGGACCCCAGATTGAAATTATTTCAAAAAACCTCAAATTTCCAAACAATCTCAATTGCCCCAGGGCAAAGTTACGGGCCTCAAAAGGGTATCATAGGCTGCAATTTTAACCAAAAGTGCCATAACTCATGTGCTTGGCAACACAGCTGGTCTGCTGCCGGTTTTTTTTCTTTTATTTATTTCATTGTTTTAAGTGTTTTTGTAGCCATTAGGCTATCAAACACTTGTGATATGTCCAGCACCGGTAAAACCCCTCTGGCAGTGTCAGGGGAAAGGGTTGCTGTTGGCTTTTTCATCTAGTCAACATGTTTTAAAAGAATAATGTGGAAAAGGGGCAATGAAGTATGGAGGAAATAAATACTATTCTATTGGTTGGTTCCGGTTTGGCAGTAGTGATTGGTTGGTGGTTTGTACCCAGATCTGTTGGTTAGAAAATCTCCAAGTGGAGTTGCAGTAGGCTGCTACAAGCTTGAAGCATCTGGGATTGGAGAGGATGTGTTCATCCATCTTGGTGGAATATTTGTATAGTCCATGTTGTAGTGTGTCTTGGTGTTGTTCATATGTCTGGCAAATAAGAAGGAAGTTATCAATGGTTTCAATGCCTTCTTGGCACTCACATACTGGGTCAATTGTCTGTTTGAAGCAATTTTAAGTATGCATTAAGCAGTGCGTGTCCTGATCTTAATTGTGTGATTGTGGCAACTTTGTGCTTGAGTAGTTGAGAGAGTCCCTCAAGGTGCTTTTTAGGCTGGCGTGTATGTTGTAAGCATTTCAGTTGCTTTTCAACGAAGGTTTTGGTTTGTTTTGTTCTCCCTTCTTTGATAGTGGAGAGGAAGGATGTGGTATTGGGTGTGTTAGTAAAGGTACTTGGTAAAATTCTTTTTGCCAATGAATTGGCAATCTTATCAGCTTATTCATTTCCTGGTACACCTTTGTGTTTGGGGCACCATTGCACCGCAATGCGCATGTCTGGGAAGCTTCGGTGTAAGCATCACATTATCTTGAATGTTTACTGTCAGTGGTTGAGAGATGAAAATGATGATGAGTAAGATGGTAGATCTTTTACTACTCAGCTCCCTCTTTACCACTTACTCATGTATTCATGAATACTTTGATAAACGTTCAGTACACATGCCACAATGCTTCTGTAATCAAATTTCTCAAAATGCAAAGCCTAATTGAGTTTTATTTGCATTTTGCAACTTGAAGAGTAATGACAGTAGTTACAAAGTTGTTGGAAATAAAGATCATGCAAAGAAGGATAAACGAAAAAAGAAACTAATACCGCCACTCTACTGAAATGGCATTACAAGAAACAGGGTCCGTGTCTAAAATTCCGTTGTCAAAACAAGAAATTCAAGTGCAGAAAGTGCAAAAAGTGCAAAACTTTATAACTTTTGAGAAGAACATATAGAAATGGCAATGTCTTCACCCCCTGCAGTCAAGGATTTGATTAATAAGGTACCTCCCTGTTGGTAATATCATGGTGGAGAACACGCTGTTAGTTTTGCCCTCTTATCACCAATCACAATAATTTCTGGATGATGCAACTCAACTGAATCAGGACATGAACTCATTATTTGACTTGTTGGCCCCACAGTAGCGATCGCTGGCCTGTGAGATTAATCGAGAGATTAGCGCAAAAAATATTCAATACTCAAATGTACTACGGAAAGACATCCGGCGCTCTCACACTTTGATAGAGCAGATCTTTTGCATCTTTTTGTTAGCCACCGATATTTCGATCTAAACAAAGGTAACAAAGATAGAACGAAATTCGAAATTGAAGTTAGATATATGGATAAGCATGCGAAGACAAGTAGAGAAAAATGCACCCACGGAGCATGATTCCGACGTAGCCTTGAAGGATTGCTGGCCACTAAGAACCCCCACTCGATCAAATGGCAATGTTTCCAACGCACTTTATCGCGCGTAGGGTCCAACAGAGGTAAATCGAAAAATAAGATAATCTGATCAATATCTTGATTTCCTGGTGATGTTTCGAAGAACTGCAGTCCAGACTTTTGATTTCAAGTGAAAAGCGACTACGATATCTGAGCTACCCGGTTCTTGGATTGCAGAGAAAGCGGTACTAGTCTATCTGATCCTGATACACAAGAGCTATCTGTCGGGAAATGCTTTAACGAGGTAAAATCGACTTACCGAAAACAGTCATTTCGAAGAATTGGCCTTCTCTGAAGGTCTCTCCGGTGACATATAGGACGTACAAAGGGAAATATTGAAGCGGCGCCTGAAAGAGATCTATCACCAGCGAATCAGCTCAACAGAATGATTCACTGATTATTGTCAACTCACAATACCATGACTCACGATAGTTGCCGGCGCTGTCCTTGGGCTTCAGCGGATGTGAAGCTTGCGATTGATAGCGAAAGGAGTGAACTGAATACCATGTTGATTGAACGGAGACGCATGCCGATGGGTGAAAATTGGTGTGTGGTGGTGGAGAATAATTACCATGTGCAGATACCAATAAATAGATTTTTAGGCTTTAGAATTGAGATGATAATAGATAACAATGTCAATAAAATTTAAGCACAAAAGTGGAAAATGGAAAACGGAGACAAGAAAACTCGGAGTCTTGCGACCTGAGACTTCGAGACATTTAAGACTCGCGCAGGACTAAGAAGTGTTTCTTGAAACGCACCCACAGCGAGGACACCTCAAGGAACTCCCCTGCGGCGCCTGACTTGTTACCCGCTCCGCTATTTATAAGTTCTATTCATCCTAAGTCCGGTTTGATTTCACTTGCTCACCCTCTCATCTTCAGTCAAGACTCCGCTGATTTTATTTGACAATGGGCGGTGAGGTTTTTCTGTGGTCAAAAAGAATGGATACCAAGAGGTCACGCATATACTGCGTCTGGACTATCTCAGTGTCTCACCAATCTCCATAGGGCATCTAGGTCGAGGAAAACAATAGTGCTTGATCGACTTCGGTCAAGAAATTTTGCCTGACTCTCAGGCTCTCGGTCCAGCAGACCTCAGACGGGGAAGAGATCAGCGGATAAGAGTGAGAGGCCTCAACCGACCCGCATAGGGTGACCACTCAACTGCCTAAGTACATATTATGGGATCAACAATCCTTCGCATAGCATTTAAAGACTTTCACTGATCAAATTATAAGTCAAGTCTAAAAGCATGAGCGACTCTCAGCATGTCCAGTCACATCACCCTCTGTCAGTGGAAAGATGATTTGATAATTTAGCTCGATAAAAAGCCTGTACTTTTGAGCATCAGGCAGGCGGTAGCTGCTTTTTGTCGTTAAACACTACTAAGAGCACATTGCGATTGGGACTATGTAATGACGCTGCATAGGATCCGGCAGCTGCCTCGGGTATCAGACTTGATAAACATATATGGTGTTGCAGCTTCTCTGTCCACCTTTTAAACCCTTGTGATCGTCGATTTCAGTTGTGTATACCCCCGGTAATTGTGGCTGTATAGCGATTCGAAATGTCTGGCCTCATCATCATTGAGGTATCTTTGCGTAACGTTTCGGAGCTGGCTTCTCCATCGCCCTTACACGTGACTCCTGAGCTGGTATCTGTCGAGCTAGAAGCCGGTAAAACGAGTGATACCAATGGGAAACGTTCATTAAACTGGTAAAAACAAGTATCAGCAAGATCGGAGACTCGAGTGCTCGTCGATTTGAGCTTCACATTTGATGAGGCGGAGAAACTTGCAGATTGATTTTGGTTTTGAGGCGGATTTTTTAGGTGATGGGAGCGCACTGTGGCGGTTGTAAGGACGTGCACGCCGGAGCGAGTATGCGCATTGGAGTGCGGGTCGATGGCTGTCTCCTTGCTCTGCGAAGAATTGAGGAAATTTGTTTGTCATAAATCAGCATATGGTCAAATTATGCATACTCATAATAATATCCAGATGAAAGGGGAAGATCCCTCTGACCTCGATAGGTTTGTTGTTTTGATTTTTCTTGTGATCATCGCTATGTTCGAATAGTTTTTCCGAGTTAAGACAGACCAGCTTGAAGGGTAAAACAAAAAAGTCAAAGAGGTATCAGGGGCATATAAGTCAAGAGTTGAAAGGTACGGAGCTCAGGCGATAGTGTCAGGTGAGAAGTGATACCAATGATATCGCCGAAAATTTTGACAAGCATAAACAGGGAGTGACGTGTGAGGCATCCCTGTAGTTGTAGAGCAAAGTGGATTGCATCCCCCAGTCATCACGAAAGTATTGAGAATTCATATCTACAGGTTACCTTGGACAATCGCATAAAATTTTCTGCCGACTTACGTTCGCCCAATTATCAGTAATACGTCGAGGATGCCAATGAAGCATGGGATTGCATTGGTCTGGAAGACATCAGGAATAATGCCAGTCAAGCTGAAAACGGGGGGAGTAGAAGAGTCAGTGATGGACCCCAGGAGACCGATAGATAGATCGCCATGAGGTTGACTTTTTGAATCACTGACAAGTTATACTTTGAGACGCTCTTCTTGTTGATCCGCCAGAGGATCCGGATCATGCAAGCCATGATGAATGTATCGGTGAGAGCTGCTACACCCGTCCATATCTTGAACAAATAAGAAGTTGTATGCAGTTGATCATACTCCTTGGCTTGTAGAGTTTTGGAAGTGACAATCTAATATATGACAAAGCTTATTATTCGTGTAAAACAAGGTAGAAGGAGGGTGATGGCGTACTGTTGCCCACATCAGCTGGAAAACTGTCCCAAAGATCGCCAAGATACACAGTAGATTTCGGTACGAAGTATTGTGCCTCATGATGCTACAAAATATCAAGCGTGTCAACGATCCTCCTACTATATCAGCTCATTCACAAGCTCAGCGGGGTGACAGACATAAAAAACCTTACCGGGTTGCAAAGAATGTTTGCACAAGACTATGTGATGAACGAAGAAAGCAGTCTATATGTGAGCGCTAGGATCATTCTAAAGATCCAAGATAACTAACAGCGCCGTGAGACCTGAAACCAATGGCAGCAAAGCAAATGGCCAAGCTATGGTTCTGGATATTTCTGAGCCATCCGGTTGCTTCACAAACCAGTGCCAACTTAGAGGAACTATGTAAGTATGAAATCCAAGCTCAGGATCTGAATAGAAAGACTCACAGCGTCACTTGACATAAGCCGGTTTGTAGAACCTCGAGTGCTACGGAAAGTATAACGAGCAAGTGGAGATTACGTTTACCGGGTTGCGGGGTACTAAAATACAACTGCACTCCATCTTCAGCCCCTCGAGATGTGAAAACATTTCAAAAATCATGATGGAGTTGAAGATGACGAACGATACATTGATTCAAAGTGACTCCGAAAAGGGCTGTCTTGATAGCGAACGATAATGAGCCAGATTTTCGATGAGATTTGGAAGCATACAAAAAAAGACGGGAGTTCGCGTAAACCAAAAGTTTTGAGAATCACTCACAGTGAATGCGGTTCCCAGGACGAAAGGGACCGTCAGAGGCCTTGAAGCCAATATAACGATTTGATCGTGTATCATAGTATCTTGCATTCCTAGGAAAGCTTACGCGGTTGTAATCACGAGCGGTGGGATTTCTCTCAAAGGGTATACTATAAGTTGCAAGAGCAGAACAGTCGGCTTGTCTTGAGGAACCGGGTACGAAGCTCCGTTTGTGTCAAGAAATTGGGGTTTTCTTGGGTCTCGAAAGAGTCGATGAGATTGACGCTGTTGCAACGAATAAGACTGGAATAGGAGAGCCTGAGTTCTACAGCCAGGGTACATATATTGATTGACTGCATTGTGGCTTTGACAAAGATGCTCACTTGGAAGATGACCTCCCATATCATACATCTCTCCTCACGTTTTTTGCCAGATTCGCCTTGCCTTCTGAGGGCCTTTGAGATTGACGTGCGTCCCTCTTAAGCCCGTGTCAGCGTTTGCATTTCTAAGCAGATTCCGGAAGATCTACTATTGATCCTCAGCCAGGCACACTATGCATATGCAGATCTGTCCGGGTGCTCTCTGGTGCTCGCCACTCTCGCCCGAGGTTCCACTGACAGTCAACCTATGTGGGGGTGACCACGGGCGACCTTTTCTTTGGAAGCGTATGTAGACACACAATATGGTTGCATTTCTCAATACCTGGACTCATGAGACTCAAACCTCGATGGAGAGCTTTCTACATGGCCTTTTGAGGTCTTTTGATGGGTAAACCAATGCTATAGGCTATGAAAGTGGTTGATCGATCCCACTAACTCGGTCGGACTGTAGCGTTTGGGGAGCACAGAGCTGATAGATAACTGTTGTTATATCCTATCTTGAGGCAACAACATGTTGCAGTCCATACATGGAGTTGAAGGCCAGCATGTATGTGACATATATCCTCTCTCGATGAAGGTAATCCGGTCAGAAATTGTTGTGAGATGTAACCGTGCTGAGAATGCTATGTATGTACTTCCTCATGTGCTGAAGCGTGTCTGAAAGGTGATGTAAGAGTCACCTCCTATTTCCTGTTAGTTACGTGAAGTTGAGAGCTCAGCAACAAGGACAACCAACAAGAATTGTCTTCTGAACATTAACTCGAAATGTATCATGAAGAATTGTTCGTCATGATCGTCTTCGTTCAAACCGCCCTCGTCCAATGATCAAAAAGCCCTGGGTTTGAGCCTGACTCTAGCGAACTCGATCCAACACAGTGTTGAGTCTTGACTTTGAAGTTGAAATACTCTGAGCCATCCTCGTCGTCACATGTAGTCAAATGCAACGACGAAGGCAAACTCAAAGTCACCCTGTCCCTACACAGAACTTCGTGCTGACATAGATGGAGGGAAAAAGTATAAACCAGTCTATGCTTCTCACAAACTCAAGTTCCTTACGAGACGAGTGTCGATTATTATTTCTTTCTTGCTTCTCTTTCGGATCGATTCGTTGTATATGTTCACATTTTTATTTAACTTGCGGATTCAATTTATCCAAAACATTTAGGATCTTTTCATATTATCAAACAAAGCATCCTCAATAAATATCTACTTATGGCCCACTCGGTCTTCTCGGCTTTGATACTCCGAGCCATTCGACACCCTTGGACGACCATTCTCGCGGCGACAACTTTAGGCTACCTGTCCTTCTACTGGAGTGATTACACTCAGTCCTTTTCAGATTCAACTCTCTCCAAGCCTTCCACCCTGATCACCCATCAAAGCTCCCCAAGTCATCACAGCACCAAATCATCACGCGCACACTTGGCACCTTTGAGGAAGCGTGCTGGATCAAACTCGGCTAATCCTCAAGGCCAAAACTATGGGACAAATGAAGGTCAAACATCTTTGTATAATTCAAATAACATGCAAACCAACAATAACATGAACAACAATAACATGCAAAATAACAATAACCTGAATAACAATAACCTGAATAACAATAACCTGAATAACAATGACAACCTATATAACAATAACATCCCAAATAACAATAACCTGAATAACAATAACATGGCAAATAACAACAACTTGGGAAGTGACAACAACAACCTAAATAACAATAACATCCCAAATAACAATAACCTGAATAACAATAACATGGAAAATAACAACAACTTGGGAAGTGACAACAACAACAACAATAACTTGGGGGGAAACAATGACTTTCCAAACAACAATGGCTTGGGAAATTACGGAAACAGTAGGCTCCCCAGTTTTGGCCAATTTCCACCTCTGGATCGCCAATGCAAGGCAATGCCAATGGAAGAAGCAACATGGAAAACACTTCAGATGGATGACTACATGCAAAAACTTCCAGACGGAAATACCATGAGTCTAGAAGTGAGTTCATCTTTCATCCAAGTTGAAGCAGACCACAATCCTGATAGCGATAAAAACAAACTCTTTGTCTCATCAACATAGGCTTTTGCCGTAAAGATGAACTATACAAATTTTATATGTGGGATCGGAGCAAGTTGCTGGGCCGGTCAACCGTGCTATCCTTTGGGATTAAAGGATTTCTATATCCTGTATAGTGTACAGCAATATAACACATATATGAACATCTACGCTGATGCAGTGGGGTATGGGATTGGACTTGTTCAATGTAGGTTGACTTCACTTTTCAATAACTTGTTCTTTATCATTGTGCAATAAAAGGGTTTAGCTCATCTCGTTCAATTTTTTACATGATCTAGCAACCATAAATGCGCTCATTGCATCACTGTATGTTATTTTTTTGAGGTTCAAAAATCAAAGCCAATGCTAAGAACCAGTTTGATTGATGTTTATATATTCACGCAATCCAGATTTCCAGCTCAAGATACCACAATGATAAAAAACATGAAAGCTAACATGGGTGTACAAGCAGCATTTTCACAGGTCACAGGAGCTGGTCAGTCACAGCTCCCTTTACACCAACCTCATTGAAAACTAACATGTATCTCCCAACAGTCCTACTTGATTTGTTCACTGCACTCACAGCTGCAACTGGTCCCATTGGAATGGCTTTCAATGTGTTAGGTCAAGTCATAGTGGCGGGAATGGCTACAGTGGCAGTTGTTATCCAAGAGCCACCTGGCCCCTTGAAAGATGGTTTTGATCAAGTAAGTGTTTTTGTGGAATTTCAAGCATAATTTGAATATCGTTCCAACATGTTTGTCAAAATCTACAGTGGTCCAATGTTGCCTATTACCTGACACAATATCAGCAGTTGCTACGCAAACAAATTGACGATACTTTGAAGAAACGCATTCAGTCGGGTATCAGCACAGACGAAGGCATGTTTGGAGTCATCAAGGGAGGAACTTTTCTACCACCAGCTCAAATGATCAATTTACCCGACTTCACAGATCGGGTGAGAAATATCACTACAGCAATGGGAATAAACCTAATCTTGAACAGATCTGTAAGTTTCCATTCTTCCGGATCATCTCTGTGTAAACATTCCAGGAGCTTTAGACTTGTTGTCAATCAAAAAGAACTTGGTCACAATATTGTACTGACCTCGTATTCATACATGTATAGAACGCTTTCATTACTGTAGGATCGGTGGGTCGATTTCAAATGAGATTTTGCTCCCAAAACACCAGTCTGACTATGTCTGTGATCTTAAATCAACGACTTTTACTTTTAGGGATGTCAAGAAAAGGGTTTAAATGGTGCCTCTGAAGATCCAAGCAGAATATCATACTGTAGGAAACCTGGTGGCACGTGAGTTAACTTAACAATGATCCAATGTAGTATTTAGAAGAAACTGGGCTGATGTACGATTTGACAGGATGTATAATTTGTTCATTTCTCATGGAGACGACGCATTTTGGCAAATCGAAAATGGGCAGGTGATCCAGGAAAGCTTTGGATACAGTCCTGAACTCATCATAATGTCTTCAGTTAGATGCCAGAAATTGAACAGAGGATACCGTTACTCTCCATGGGCTGATGGGTGAGTCTAATGACCTCATGAATATTACCTGCAGAAGACCTAACTGAAATCTTGTTTTCCAACTTTGAAATTCAGGAAATCAACCCCTCAAGATGTCACAGATACCTGTGTTTTTAACCTTCCAGTATGTTTTCTTGATCATAAAGGTTGGTCATTTTTGTCTTGCATGAGAAAAAACTTGGGAAAGAAACAAATGACAGATCTATGTAAAATTTTGTGACATTCATTTAGATACTAGAGATAGGATTAGCAGGGACCACAAGCGATTTTCGCCGGGCAAAGCATGTAAAATGGAGGGCATGCCATTGATGTAATGAGGATGAAGTTTGTTAAACCAGTTTCTTATACCATTCTCATTGAGCTTGGGAATAGACTTTGAGGAGTCAAATTTGTGGACATATCTATTCATCTGTTATTTAAATTGAGCACCATCTTAGTTTTGTGAATCAGCCTATTTCATTTCATCAATTATACAACATTTTACGGGTTAACATTTAAATTTCAACATGGACATGCAATTCAACCCTTGCATTCTCTTCTAGACCTCTTGTCTTTCTTCACAATCAAAAATTGCAATAAGAAGTCCTATGTAATGTTAGGCTTTCTCAAGATTTTGATAATAGCATACAAAATCCAGAAACAATTGCAAACTTATATCCATTTGTCTTTCAAGGAGAGTAGGTCTCAGTCAGAAGGGACTCTATCAGTATTACCTAATTGGTACTATCTAATCTTCCATATGTATTCAACTGAAATCTACCTTTACAAGCAAGCTCCACCACTCTGGTATACTGTCTTTTCCTTAAGACCAATAAGCCATTTGCGCGTGGTGTGGGGGTAGTCCCGGGGAAGGTGAGATCTATATTAAAGATAATTAACTCTTCTCCCTTTTGGTCTTAACACTTTGTCATAGTTAATATCTTCTATGATGTCATGCTTACTTATTTCATTTCTATTCTGACATCATTATCTGTTGTCCTTCTCAATCTACTCATTTGTACCTTGGTCATACGAGTTTGCTTTCTATATAAGAATGTGCTTGATTCAACACTGTTGTCTTTCTTTCTCATCCATTCTTATATGTTCTTCTCGTACCCATAGGTACTTCACTTTTACATCACACTTGTGTTCCTTTAGCCTTTACTGAACTCTTGTGTTCTGTCAAAAGGTTTGTTCTTTACTTTAGTAGTGTGTGTGAAAGCAATCCATTCTTATATGTTCTTCTTGTACCCATAGGTACTTCACTTTTACATCACACTCGTGTTCCTTTAGCCTTTACTGAACTCTTGTGTTCTGTCAAAAGCTCTGATCCTTATAATCTATTACAGGAACTAAGCCATATCCTAGAATCAAAATCCCTGGTGTGAGAGCAGACTTGAGAAGCAGACTTCTCAAGCCCTAAACTCACAAAGGTCAGGAGTTGTATCAATACCCTAAAAACCATTTTCCAACTTATTGCACCTATGTCTTTTACTTTTCCCTCCATTCTTGATCTTTCCATCTTCCTCTTTCATTCCTTTCATAACATGTTTTATTCTTTTGAATACAAACCAAATGTTCTTCCTCATCAATCCCAACTTTGATACCATATCATCAATTGAATCTTACTAATTCTACTCTTTTTTCTGATGTTTCAACTTTTTCCTCATCTCTTACTATCTTTATTGAGTTGTATAATCAATTTGTGAATGATTCCAATATTCTAAGTGATTTATAATTGCTTATAACACGCCTGTTGAACATTCAACATAACCAATAAAAACAAAACTTTGACTAAAACCTACACCATTTTGTTTATTTTTTTGCTTATTTAAGAGATCCTGCTCACCACACCAGTCATTTCCCTGCTTTTAACCCTCTCAACTTGTTTCCAAACATCTCAAGTACAAGTCAGATGATCTTCCTGATCAAATATTGGCCAAAGCTGTTATTGGACACAGCATGTTTCTCAACTTCCAAAGTCATGTTTGTTCTCTTGAATTGCTGTGTCAACATAGATCATTCACATACAAGAGTTATAAATCCAATAGAACATGGGTTTTTCTCCAAAATGTCATCCTCATAACCTTAAAAGATATTGGAGCTGCTTTTGGATAAGATTTGAAAGATTGTGGGATGGATTGGAAAACATTGTTCTGGTTCAAATCCCTATCCATGATTTAACCTTGTCTTCATCTACCCAGCCATAAGCCCAAGAAGACCAACCTGACCACCTTACCAAAGGATACAAAAACAACTCAAGATGTATGTTACATACAGGTCTGCTCATCTGAATAAGTAAATCCCATGTGATATTTCATGTAGCTTTTTCCAGTTTGACAAAATCCTCCGGAAAATTGTCTACATATAACTCCATAGCTACCCTGACATCACTCTGGAGGTTATTTGACAGTAACAGAAAGTGTTAAATGAAGTTTGGTAGATGAAAACACCAAAACTATAGTATGAGTCAACGTATGTAGTCAATTTTTGCAATGCTTTTGTCAAACTGAAAAAAATACAGCAGGTTTTTCATATGATTTACTCATTCAGATGAGCCAATATGTAGCCGAGCAGCGCTGTATGTACATGATAGCTCTCAATTTAACCATTCTGATGCACATATGTAGCGTGGGTGATATGCTTCAGGTGTTCAGTGATCAATCCCTTATGACCAAGTATACTTCCAATCATTTTCCCCCACACAATTGAACAGGAAGTTGTTTGATGTTTGCAGTGAGATAGCAGGGGCTCAATCATATGGCGTCAAACACCAACAGAGGGTCCCTTGTGCATCTATCAATAGGCCATAAAGTGAGACTGAACAAGCAGGGGCCTCAGTCATTTATAGGTAGGTGAAAAACCAATTTCCAGATCATCATGATTAAGGTCTCCCAGAATATGTGTGCCACCATACTTGTACCCAGCAGAGCTCTTCACTTATACCCCAAAACACATCCCAAGGACCATGCTTGAAGAGCACAGATATGATATTGAAGGAGACATAGTCAGAGAAAACAACATCAAAGAATCAGAGGTGGAAAAATGTTCCAAAAAGATCGTAAAAGTCAAGCTTCCTGGTGATTGAGACACAATTCTTGTACCATAATGTGGATATCTTCTTACACATCTTGTGCATGAAGTTGTATCTTAACTTGGGAAATTATCTACACAATTTAGCCAAGCTTATATCCAGACTCAAAGTTTAATCCAGGTCAGAACCTCAGCAAGTTACGAAGATATGTACATAGCATCCCATTTTTGAGGTAGATACATAAAAACATCTACCTAGACAAGAAATATGGGATTCAAGATGTAAGGAAGTGGTCCCAAACCACATGTATGTAAAGCCAGCGAGGTTGGTTTCATGAATGTGATACCTGCCGGACCGCTGCAGGGTAGAAATTTCACAGATTGGCGTGTTCCTGGGGCCTACATCGGACCACGACTCGTGTAGGTAAGGACCGGGACGTGTCGGACTCGGTGAAGAGTGGGTGAAGCACGAAGATCCAAGTGAAATTGAAATTTGAACTTGGAACTGAACCACTTCAACTTCAACTTCAACATTCGACCAACAGAAAACCAACTCACATCATGGGTAGACGTGGTCAAACTCAATCAAACTCATCTACAAATGCTGATGCTGAAGGTAGGTTTCATGTCAATCCAAAAACTACTTTTCTACTTCTTCTCTTAATCGATCCATGTGGGATTTGGTAAAGCCAAAGATGTATGATATCACGAATGTTCTGTCTACGATCGGTGGTCAGCTTTTATTCCTTGTCTGCTCGCCAGTTTGGGTGATCGCACTGTAGATGATAATGGCTGATCCATGGACTTGGATAATCATTCGATCTTATTCAGATCTCAATGACTCATCTCGTCTTGAGTGATCGTGATACTATCATATCAATGATCCAAAGAGACCATATCCGCTGGCTAACTCATCGCGAATTCTCTTTAAAACGTTTATCAATCAGCTTTTAGCATTTGGCGTGACCTTCATCAACGACTCACTCATCTAGCCGCTCTCCAAGACCGATTACCATCCTCTATTGACGATCCTAGTCCGTTGACATCAGATTTAGAAGGTCTCGTCGGATCCATTGAAAGTCTTTTGAAAGACACAGTTGAAGAAGAAGCGTACGTGTATATTCATATTCATCACACCTGCACAGGCTAATATTTTGCTCCTTTTAGCATCCTTGAAGTGCTCCTTGAACGTCTTGCTATCCTGATCGCCCTCCGGGAAGCTCCACCCGATCCACCTCAACAAGGTATGTTCCATCTCACCATTCCTCTTTAAACCCCATTCTATACCCTATCCGTTCCATTCGAGTTTTCATTCTATACAAAAGCAGTCGAGGAAGGAGATGATTGAGAGAGGGATTGGTCTCCTCTCTCTCCAGGCCGAGCTGCGAAGAAGCGCAGGATAGAGCACACCTCGGCTGAGCCGATGGACTCACCAGCTTCTTCATCTCTTCTCGAACCTCCGGTCTCTTCTACAAGTCGTACATCATCACCTGCTCCACTTCATCTCACGCAACCTTTAAATCCTCGATCATCTCAGGTCGTGTCTCGCGCTACAACTCCAATCTTGTCAGATCAACCATCAACAGCAACAACAACAACAACAACGAACCGTCGAGACACTAGACAAGGGGTGAATAAATCGACTCGAATGGCTGCTTTACGTGATCAACTTCCACTCTTACCTGGTCGACTTGTTGCTTTTAAACGTCCGAGAAAACCTTCTGATGCTGCTCGTTCCACCGATGCAGAGTGGATCATGGCTCGAGTAGTGAGATGTATTTCAAATGACAAGAACCGGTTCGTTTCACCTATCTGATCTTTTTGACATCGCATCTTGTTATTAAAGTTGTGCTTTTGTCCGTACAAAAAGCTACGAAGTGGAAGATGTAGATGTAGAAGGAAGTTCCTCAGAGGCCGACACCTCAAACAATGTACGAAAGGTATCATGGAACACGACCTTAAAATCAATTATTCCATTACCAGTGGTCGACAAACCTGAAACATTCCCTACAGTTCCATTACCACCTGGAACAGATGTCTTAGGACTTTATCCTGATACGACGACTTTTTATTTAGGTAAAATCGAATCAGTTCCCACTCAAAAGAGTCGAAAATATAAAGTATGTTTTGAGAATGATGGACATACTGGTCCTGTTAAAGTGGGAATGGAACATGTGGTTCAATTTAGTTAAATCCAAATCCAAACTTTGAGTTGATTCAAGTTTGTATGTTTTTTATAGAGAATCTAATATGAACTTTTGAGAAATTGTTTTTGCTTCTTCTTCTTCTTCTTTGTGAATATGGAAATGTTGATGTATCTTGTACAGATTTTGAAATGTTTTTGGTTTCTTGTTTTTCATGACTTGATATACTCACGAACTTGTTTTACACCGACAAACACGATAGTTTAATGACGATTGCAAATCTAAGCTAATAATATATTCATTGGAAGTTGAACCTTGATGAACTCTATTCTTTCATGCATATATACCCACAAGTTGAAGTATTCTGTTAAGCTTGTGTGCTGCCATGATGGCATTGAATAGAGTTCATGAGCCAACTGATGGTGTATGGCCGCACTCAGACAAAGTAGTACATAAATAACTGTCATCATCTGCATCTTATCATAGGCAACTATAGGCAACACAAAATGTTCAAGAGCACAGATGGGCAGATGCTCATGGCTGATGGTATTGAATCCACTTCTGTATCCTTTTTGGGGTGCGTTTCCGGCCAGCAGCAGGCTCACGCCGCAAGAGAGCAGAGAGTGTTTTGAAAAGTACTTCAGGAAAGCAATGACTGAGCCACTACTCTACGTGTCTATCAAGTGGGGATCCCCTTCTATTACTGACCAGCAAATCTCCATCCCATTATGTTTCTACGTACATGTTCTTTGAAACACAATGATAGAGAGTCAGTCCTGGCAATTCAGAGTCTTGCTTTTGCATCACAAACTTCCTCCAATAATTTTGCTCCGACGAAAGTGACGTACCACGTGCCATTGGTGGTTTATTACTAATCTGTTCCGGCATCAGTCTAGGGAATCCTCTAATTATTGCTGATGTCCTTGAGCTTTCTGGGTCCTCCAAAGATGATTGTTTTTGTTTTTACCGGCTGCATCTCGGGACATGATTTCCCACAGACCGTAGTTGAGAGGTGCAGTTTGTCTCAATCACTCGAGAGTCGAACCTATGTAAATCCCCTCAATCGAGTTCCTCGCGTGGCGACAGCGAGGTGTCGAACGCCTCGCCGCGAGGGACTCTATTGAGTTTGCTCGAAATGGAACAGGGCTCAAAGGAGCGGAATGAGCAAAATGAACAATGCTTTTTTCCTGGTGAAGAGGAAATGGGAAAGCTTTCCTGGGCGTACATATGGCTTCTTTAAACATTATTGCTATTCCACATCATTCCCTTCCCGCATTTTTGAAGTTGTTGACGCGCAGACTTGCTTGATGCACCAGACCACACAGCCTCTACCTTTCAAGCCTTTTCAAGCACCTAGCTTAACTAGTGATGTGGTGGTGGGTGGTGGTGAGACCCGTATCTATCTCCAAGAATATTCTTGTAGTTTCCAAGGGCGGCCAATAATCCATTCAGCCTCATGCAACGCCACAGAAATGAAGAGCGTGGCAGAAACGGAAGAGTTGCTTATAAATTTCACCATAAACTTGGGAGACGGACGCCTTACATAAGCTTACATATCCTTTCCCTCAGCAAGTCCCAAACAACAGCTTTCACTTCAATTTTCAAACATTCTCTTTTCCTATCCACGGAATTGTCTCTTCGCCTTCACCTAAAATCGGTTTATAAACCACGCGAACGCAATCAGGGATATACGCAAATTTATTAAAGAGATGCATAGCTTCTTTACCATTGCAAAGTTAGTCCTATTTTCTACGGCTTGGCAACTCGTTAGTGCAGAAGCAGTCCATCCGTGCGCTCCGAATTGGGATGCTCGCGCAGCGAATGGGATCGCATGTAAGAAGTTATTTCGTGATATTTTGCGGGCAATTCCCCCCTCAAAGATTTCCTCTCGGCTCAAAGTCCCTCTCCTTTTCCTGAATTCACAGCTTGTCAGGACGACCCGACCGGTGTGATGTACAACTGTAAATATGCGGACTGTTGGACTGGACAAGGAACTGATACTCATCCACCACCGGGAAATCATGGTTGAGTGCTCATTTTTTATCTTTCACCAAGATCAAGATCAGGTCTTCAAGAGGTGGACCCCTTTAACAAATTTTAACCTCTGAACATGATTACAGGCGCAGATGTCACATACTCAGATTGTTACAGGTATAAGGGTGTTTTTGGTAAATCTGATCGGGATAGCCATAAAGTCACTGTTCATGCCAAAGCTTACTATCAGATTAGGAAAAAAGCCCATGTTAGTAAGTACCAAGTGATTGCGTTTTTTGTTCCTTAGGACGCTATCCACCAGACAGATCAATTATTGGGCATATCAAAGATCCTGATCTTGCTTGGTTTTGTCAGATGTGATCGGTTATGAAACGTACCCCGGCACAGACCCGCTCTCAGGGTACAGATGTAATGATTTGGATAAAAATTACGCAAGTACGTATAGACTCAAGACCTACCCACAATAATTAATGCATTGACTGATGTTCCACTGCACACTTTGTCTTTCTTCACCTCCAGTTTGTCCAGCTTCCAGTTGCACGGTTCAAACTTGATTCAATTCACTTTCTAAGTAGGCTATACACCCATTCATAACACGCTTGTGGGTCTTTGAGGCACAAAAGAACGAGTGGGCAATTTTCAATATCCTGATGCGTGTTGAAGTTGAACAATCGGCTGGGATCCAATTCATCACCAGTATTTCGACCATCATGTATACACTCTTCACCTGTGCTGTTGAACAAAAGTGGTCCTTTGAATTGACCAACGAAGTGATAAGTGATAACACCCGCCCTCACTTGATTTTCAGCTTTCATGAATTACTGTACATTTTTTTCGTCATGTCTGCTACTGAAAGTGATGAACCCTCTTGGGGAACCAAATCACTCAAATTCAACAGTGATTCTTCATTTCATACCACTTGTATTGGGGGGTTTCCACTTGAAAATCTTGAGCAAAGATTTTAAAGTCTCCGAACCACCTTTTAAGTCTTCTCAATGCCTAAAAACGCGCAAGCAGTGCGGAAAAGTGTATAAGCTAGGTTGTTCTCAAATAAATAAAAGAACTGGCTTTGAGTACAAGGCTCAAAATATTTACATCACCTCTGCTGTTATGGATTCAACGAGAGCGAAAAACAAATCGACCTTTGCAACCTTAACCAAGTCCCTTGAGTACCACAAACAAGAATACCTTTGCCTGAGAACTTGAGAAGTAGCATGTTGAGCTCAACATCATTACATTGCAGTCTCATTTTTTTGGCACATTGAGAGCTAGTCTGTGAGAAAGACAGGTAAAAAAGGGAAGACCCATAACAAATCCTACAGTCTCCAACTCAAAATTCCTCCGTAACGGTCCTAGCAATAAAAGTTGAAAAAGACCCATCATTGATTTCCCAGTAGTAGTCTATCGAGGAGCTTGAAGTGCGAGCACATGTAATGGAGTCTTGCAAATCACCTTTTCTCTTGCCTCGAGGTGTGTTTATTGGGCCATAAAGCAAATCTTACCAATGAAGTTCTGCAAATAGCACATTCGTCTCTAAAAAGGAATTTTGTATTGATATGCTGGCTTCAGCTATGTACTCTACTTCAACAAGTAAAATCTCACTTCTACAAACTCTACCACAAATTTGTTACTACTACTAGGAGTCAAATAACTTTTCTGGAAATTGGTCCTACATTGGATATTCTTGAGGTAAAGATTAGCACAGAAATTGGTCAGAAAACCAACCAATTTCTTTGATTACTAAACACTTCCTTTTGCAAGACAAGCGATATGTTCAACTTATAATGCGTTGCTGATATCAATTGTGATATCTGATCTTGATAGCGGATCGAATTGTAGATCACGTGACAACAATACATATGCGTCTTTCATGTAGCCGGTACCGACCCGATGAACAGGTTAAGCAACACCGGATAGTTTTGATCGGATATTGATTGATCGTCATTGAGTTTGATTTGATTTGACTTCCAAGTTCCGGCGATCACCGATCAGACGACGAAAGTAGACCATGGCAAACAACCGATTCAATCAAATCGTATTCGAAAGTCTCACTCGAAGACAACCTTCCTCTTCTCTTTCGGCTTCTACATCACTATCACCTTTGGTCTTCAGGGTACGCCACGAACGGCTTATCTCGGTCGATATGATAAGAGTGCATCTTGTTTAGCTCGTTGACTCATATCACTTGATTCTATACCACAGCGTTTACGCCATGACCTTGCCAAACACTCCAATACCGGTCGTCTCGTTCAATCTGCAGGTCCACCAGGTCGACATGCGAATGCAGGTCAAACAGTCACAGTCTTTGGTGCGACTGGATTTCTAGGACGATACCTTGTTCATAAACTAGCCAAACGTGGTACACAAGTCATTGTACCTTATAGAGATGAAGATTCAAAGCGACATTTAAGAGTGATGGGAGATTTAGGTCAAATCGTACCACTCGAATTCGATTTATCAAATCAAACTTTAATTGATGATTGTCTAAGACATTCAAATGTGGTATATAATTTAATTGGAAGAGAACATGAAACTAAAAATTATAAATTTGATGATGTTTTTGTAAAGGGTGCTGGAATCTTAGCTGAACGTGCCAAATCTCTTGGTGTTGATCGATTTATTCATCTTTCTCATCTGAATGCTTCTCATGATTCGATTTCGAAATTTTATCGTACAAAAGCTCTTGGTGAACAACTTGTTAAAGCTACTTTTCCTGGGGCGACTATCGTGAAACCGAGTACTATGTTTGGACCTGAGGATCGATTCTTGAATAAGATGGTTACCAAGCCTTTCACTTTCAAAGTCAACGGTCTTGAAACTCGAGTCCGACCTGTTCATGTGTGTTCTTCTCTGATTGCATCTGCACCCATTTGCTTCCCTGAGATATTCAAGTGCACTAACCTTTCTCTTTAAACGTGCTGACGGATGAAATGAATCAAATTGACAGGTTATAGATGTAGCAGAGGCATTAGAGATGATGAGCCGAGCTCCTTCAACTATTGGTCAAACCTTTGAACTCACCGGACCTCGTACTTACACGTACGAAGAACTCTTTGGAGTTCTAGAAGCTTTAACTCTCAAACCACTTACACCATCGATCGGATTTCCTTATTGGTTATTCAAATTATTAGCAAAAATTGTCGATCGAGCAGTTTGGTGGCCGACATTAAGTGAAGATGAGATTGTAAGAAGGACGATTGATGATCGTGAAAGTCTTTCACCTGATGCATTAGGTTTTGAACATTTTGGTATTCAACCTGATCTTATTGAACATGCTGCAATCACTTATTTGAGATACTATCGATCATCGTACGTTTTCCTATGACACTTTTCTTATCAATCCTGATACTGATTTATGTTCTTTTACGTATGTGTGATGTTTTTTTTTACTAAATCTCGTAGCTCTAACTTTGATTTACCTATTCAACAAGGTGGTATGAAGTTAAAACAAGGAAATTACAATGTGATGCAATAATTGATTTCTGATTGTTTCATTCAATTCTTTTTTCCTTCTCTTATAAATTTAAAAAGATCTTTCCTAAAACTGTCTGGTATCAACTCAAAGATGCAAATGATCAAATTAAGATTGTTCCTAGTATATCTTGATTATTGAGAATATCTTGAGAGATGGGATATCACCAATCAGATCAAAGGATTCATTACTGTCAATCCCATAGAATAGGTATGGTATGTTCCATTGCCAACAATGAGGAATTTTGGGTCCATTGAGAAAGATAACACATCAAAGAGAATTGTTTAACTGAAATGAAGAATTGAAAAAGCCTGCAAGACACAGATGGAAGTTGAGAGATGATCAAAAGGTATTTATCAAAACTTCAAGTTTTCAATTTTTCTTGTTGAATTTGCCTCAAATCTCCACAAATCAGTCTAGACATTTGTATTGTATGAGAGCTCTTTAGAGTTGCCAAAACACCAACAAAATATCAAGCAAGACAGAGATCATGCTACGAAAACACAGCTGAGTCTGTCTAATAGGAAACAAAAGGTTGATGTATTTTCCTGATTGAAATAAATCTCATTGGTGAATCCACATTCTTGTTCAAGTGCAAGAAACCCATTGTAAAGGATCTGCTACCCAGGTTTTCTCAAGGAACCAAGTGCATTTGAAAAAGTCTACAAAAGGGAATAAAGTCTAGCTTGATACATGCATATATTCAAGCTACATACTTGAAAGCAACAACATCATCCCAACAACAAATATATATAGAAGTCTTTCCACAGATCTCATACTGACTAGGTACATATATCTGATTGCACAGAAAGCGCTTATTCTATTTGACAGTTAAACAGACTACATATCTCTTCTAGTAGAATATTTAGTCAAGTTTGTGTAGATTATATGTGGTTCCTTATTCTCTGATGATCCAATCCTGAACAATTTCTGAAGCCTTAACTTATAGATCTTCAATCTTGAAAAACCAAATCCAAGTTTCCAAACTAATTACAAATTTCAAATAAGGTACCTACAATTGTATGACCTCATTGATTCTTTGTTCCCTTTCTTTCTGCATTCTTTGAAAGTCAGTTCTAGAAACCATTTGTTTTGATCCATTATAAACAATTTACAACACTAGAAAGATAATTCAAAGAAAAATGTTTTGATAGATTGGAGGATCTATGTAGGTCCATACTTCAATTAAAGATCTGTACAATAGAAGCTAAAGCTTCTGTTTGTACGAGAGAAGCTAGATATTTACAAAGCGAAGAGGGATACTGAAATCTGTTCAGTGTTTCCGATCAAGTACTTTCTTCAGCGTCCTTTATCACAGTAAAGCTTGATAAGTTGATGAATCGTTGGAATGATCGAATCGAAAGTAAAGACTTCATTCTTCATAGATGATATTCCAAACTGGAAATCAGCATTTTTTAGCAAGTCCCAATAACAACAGAGACACAAACTTAATCAATGTCGATCATCATCATCATCCTCAAACCTAAAATATTCATGACTCTCATCCAAATTATCTGACCAAACATTTCCAAGACCAGGATGAGATCCGAAACCAGATTTAGCCAGATCACCTGGATCTTCTTCATCTTCTTCTTCATCTTCATCTAACATTCCACTTTCATTTACTAATGGTTGATAAAGAGATGCTAATTCACGTTTGTGTTGGTATTGTTTATGTAGAGATCTAGATAAATGGTATCCTACTAAACAACCTGCTTCATTTGCTAATAAGTCTCCCCACTTTATCCAACCAAAAAAAATCCAATACAAGTCAAAAAAAAGTATTGAATGAGCAAGAGTAAAAAAACGAGAGAGGGAGATGAACGAATGAATCAAAGCACTTACAGAAAAGACTTTCCATGGTAAGAAAACTTGAATAAGTTCAGACCCAATCCCACCTAACAAAAAACAAATGGTAGTAGTACAAATCGAATTAAAATGTTTCCAATACCAAATCAATTGAGAAGATTGATCAACATCTAAAATCGAATAAAACAATCCAGTGACAATCGTAACTACATAATTCCACCCCCCAACCCGTCCGTCCATCGAAGAAAATCAAAATCAAATCAAATCAAGAATCAGTTTCAAGAAGAAGAAGAAAAAAAAATGTCAGATAAGGAAAGGATGAAAGAAAGTCTTACATGAAATAAAATGGAAAAGCTAAATTGAAACCAAAAAAAAAGAAAAAAAAGACCTAAATGATAAGCCAAAAGGATTATAACCAAGTTACAAGATGAAATCAACCACCAAATGATTGAAAACATACTTTTTTAGGAAATAAAACCCAAGCATTTAAAGCTGGATTAAACCCAACCAAAGTCAAGATAATAATAGTAAATAAAGTAAGAAGTAAAAAGACCTGATCGAAAAACCAAAAAAAAAAATGATCAATTGATTTAAGATAATTTGTAGTTTGTTTTCTCATCTCAAAAGACTTACAGGACGTATCCTAATAGGTAATCTACGTTCTTGAGGAAGAGAGATTTGATTTTGATTAAGATTCAATAAATTCAAAAGGTTTGATAATCTATAAGATTTCATGATTATTTGAAAAGGTTTTCTACGATTGATTTGATGTCCCAATGAGAATAGTTTAGGAATCGATGGCATTGAGAATCGAGAATCGAGAATGGATGATCGAGAATCGTGATAAGATGGTTGATGGTCGATTGCTTGGAACTTGACAAATGGTGTGGTTGGTTTCTGAATGTATGCGTTTGAAAACCTAAAATCAGATTCAAGGATTGGCAAGGTGATCATCATGTGACATCAGCATGAAACTTTCAATCTTTTCAGTTTCAATGAGTCCTTCAAACATTTCCTTTACAACTTCTTTTCTACTTTCTCTCCTATTCTGTTTCTCTCGGCCTCGGCATATGAGTCCATTCTCATTTCTGCATCCCTCTCATGATGATTACATCTTACTTTCAACCTCTTTGAGAAGAGCCTTGGTTGGCCAGAAAAATGAATGTTGATACTTGTATTTCTAGTGAGGCAACTTTGATTTTTTCTTTGAGGGAGATGACTTGCAAATTAAAAACAACAAAGTAACCAAATCAACCAAAGAAATCATGTACACAGAAAGCTACAAGGGCCTCAAATTTGTAGTCTGCTAATAACTCACCTCGAATAAGATTAATTGTATCCCAAGAGAACTACTATCCAGGTTTGCTTGATATGGTTAAAGACAATGTTCTTCACAAGTTTGCTAAATTCAACTCTCGCAACGGGCATATCACCTTAAAAAGGCCCCAACAGACAGACCAATTCTGGATCACTATCTTTTTGATGAAAGCCTTATTTTGATTGTTTTCCAGACAGCTCATCTTACCTACTTGAACTGATCATCCTACTTTTAAGTGTTTTTTTTCTCTCCATCTTGGTTACTATAGATGATTTATTTTTTCTCAACACACTCTCCTTGATCATTCAAGGTGATTATTAGATCTGTTCAATTGAAATAAATAGTCAAGTCTCCAAGTCATCAAGTACCAGCATTCTACTACCTTGATTTGGATTTAGCTGATGAATAATCTATCTCATCTTCTAAAAAAAGCAAAGGGTGTAGTGTGAACAGCATTTTAGACAAAAAGCAAGTGTAACTCTTGGTTCTCCTCACAATGTGTGATACTTTGGAACTAGATAAGCTGATCTTCCAGATCCATCTGCACAATCACTCAAGGTTGTGTAGACTCAGCTTCAGTCTCAAACCTAATAAGCTTGGAAGAAAAGATCTCCTTCGAATGATACAGCACTGATCACGCTGTGGTGTAAAGATCCAATCTCAAATCGTAACTAAAACCAATACGGTTTACTCTTTCAGAAGACAAGACACGGGTCATGTGTTTGTTGAGTTGAAATATCTTCAAGTTTGAAATTGTGATCAGAAAGTAAGGACTCATGGATAATTGCTTTAAGGCTCTAAACAACCATAAGATGAATAAAGGAGAAGTATAGAAGGCGAGGTGTGAATCAGTCGATATCCATATAAAGCGATTACCGAAGTGAATGATCGGGAGTATAAAGATAAATGAGTGAACAGGAATCAACCCATGAAAAACATACAACAAAGAATCAGCAACCAGATCAAATCACACCTCAAAGACTTCTAAAATGCTCCAATGATGATGATAAAGATGTTCAAAACTCACCAAGCGAAGCAGGGAATTTTCCATTCTCACGTTGTTCATCCCAACGAGCAATCCAGTTATCTAAAAAACCCATCCCATCAACCAAACTCAATAACGATAATCATCATCAATGAGTTCGAAATCAGATTGAATGACTTACTAGGACATAACGAATGGAAAGCACGGAAGAATTGTTTACATGGTGCAAAATCTTCTCCACGTGCGTTTACACATTTGTAATAATCAACCTATTTAGAAAACACATTTAACCAAATATCAAATTAAGTTCTCTGAGTTTGGTTTTTTTGGAGTGTTGTGGAATCGATCGGATCGGATCGGATCGAATAGAAAGAGATAATGGTTTCGTACGTATGATTGCCAACAGTATTTGGTTTGCTATTCGGAATAAAAAAGACCCAATTAATCGTTCTGTGTTTTTCACAGACTTATAAAACACTCAAATAATTGTTCACTTACGTTACAGTTTGGGAACCGAGCATCAAATCCAGCGGTCTATCAAAAAAATAAAGAATCACGATTAGAAAGATATTAGTTGAGAAGAGCAAAAAGAGATTCACTTGTAACACAAAGGTTTGTTGTCCAGTCTCCTATGTATAGAAAGAAGTTGATCCGATTACATTTAGTCAGTACAACAAAGTAAAAGAGATATTGGATAAGAGTTAAGATAACTTACACTGCTTTCTTCAGATGAAGACATTTTGATCAAAGTTGTTGTTAGTTGAGAGTGTGGTGGATTCGATTAGAAGTTAAGTGATGATCAACGATGGTCAATGGTCTTTGAGATTGATTATCAACCTGTCACACGGCGAAACCCGGGTGACCGATGTCCATGAATCTCAATATAAGCATCACAACTCACAAACTTCCTGTGACAGCTTCAATACATGCACTTTGAGCGAATTTCGCTAATACACATACAAGCATTTTCATTTCTTCAAAGATGAAGTGAACTAGAGTGAACTCCAATCAATGCTATTTACAATCTTTGAATAGTGACCACTTTGCAATGGCATCCTTAGTATATGAACTTCCCTTTTTGGTTTCAAAACTTGATGTTAAGAACCAACCAAGGAATAAGTTATCAATCAAACAAATCAATATGAGAGCATCTCATAAACTTCAAGTTTTAACTCATGATCTGAATACATATATATCACTCAACAGTTTCTCTAATAAGACTTTGATTTCAAAAACGATTTGGGCCATTCATCAGACCCAGACTATCAAAGGGTACAAACACATAAAGAGCTTCAATCTTACTCCATGCACATTTTGAAATAAAACATAATTATCAATTCACTTTCATCTAAGAAAAACTTAGCACACAGCCAAGAGATACTTGATTCTCTTCTTATACCAATGTAATCTCAAAAAAACACATCCAATTAATACAATATACAAATCATCATTAACTTCTTTCAAAAAAAAATTATAACCTATTTCAAAACCACCAATCAAAACTTTTCAAACAACCCCTTCGCATACATAAAAAAATAACGTTTAAATCTGTACTATCATAAATAAAATTTTCAAAAAAAAACTAAACAAATTTCACACATCAAACATAATATCAAAAAAATAACCGATTTGTCTTTCAAAAAGACCTTAAAATGATCTTCATAGGTTCATTGATTCAATTCCCAGTCATAAGATTAGATTGACTAAAAGTTTTAATAGCCATCAAAAACTGTTCTACTCCATTCTTCTTCTTCTCATTCTCATTCTCTTCTACTTCTTCAACCCGATTCCTTTCATCCGAATTACCATGACTCACAACACAACTAGTAGCTAAAACAAACGGTCTAGTTTTCTTAGACAAAACACTTTGTTTAAAGTTTTGAACTAATTTCATTGGTTCATTTGATGTTTTTTGATTCATATTAGTCATAGATCCATTCCTAATCAAATTCTTTACTGAGACTAATGATTTGTCTATTGCAGTTAATAAATCAGGTGATAGATCTGTTAAGATTTCTCTTTTTAATCGGGACCAGTTATGGCTTGAATAAGCATTCAGATTAGGAGTTTCTGATTCTTTGGTTCCAGGTCGTGTTGCACTTGTAGGTGATTGAGCTGGATTGCTGGGTTGGTTTAACCAGAGTGCTAATTGAGTAGATGCTAATAAGAGAGATGATTCTAATACTGCTTCAGCGATTGATCGGATACCAGTATCATTCTCCAAATCCCTTGATGGACCAGAAATAGCCCTCAAATTTGTAGGAGTGGATGTATTAGCTGATGACCTATACACTTCCAAGCCCGTCTCGGCTAACTCGAGGAGTGTTCCAATGGTAGCAGGTTCACCTGCAACAATACTTCTGGTCTAAAGATTCAAACAAAGCAACAATGAGCAAATGAAGAGAAGAGCATATAAGAATATCAAAAGACTCACTGGATTGATGACTGTAAGCTCAAGTGGCCAATCTGCAATATCTCTTGTGAGAACATGAATAGCTCGGGTATGGGAGATGAGAATTCGTAAGATATTCTTTGAGATTTGAAGCATATGTAACAAAGCCTCTTGAACATGTACATCAAGTTTTGGTGAATTATTGGACATAATCATTCCTTGAGAATTCCCACCACGCGTAAGAGTAGAGCTCATTAAGAGTTCATTCCGACTGACATCATTTTCAAGCCATTTAAAAGTTGAGTTTGGGTGACTAAGACAATGTGCCAAGGTCTGTAAACCGGTCATCATAGCTAAACAGAAATGTTCAGGAAGACTTAAGAACGGATGTCCGATTGGTTTAGTACAGATCACCGATAAAAGGCTTGTCACTAGTTCCATTTCTTCAATTCCTGCCAAACTCAAGTTTACCCCGTGATCACGTTGATTTGGATTAGAAGTTGATATTGTAGAGAGAGCGACCATGAGCTGAGGCGAGTAGAGTTTTGCAAATGAAGCGATCTCATCCACCATGAAGAGCTCACTATGACACAAAGTATTGGCTAGAGAGCAGACAAGAGCCAGTACTGAGCACCAAAGTGTATGAACAGGGTTACGCTCGTTAGGGCGGAGAGGGGAGACCGGCTCGATTAGACCAAGTGAAGCTTTGGGTGTTAAAGAACTGCCCAGTAATGCTGCTATCAGGCCTTCTGACGCCAGGTACTCTGCTAATCGATCATCTAGTGACATGCCCATAAACAACCGAATCACCTCTGCTACCAACTTAGGTTCTTGCTCGTCATAGTTGATTCTCTGATTGAGTAGATTGAAAGCAGGTTGACAAAAGTCATGAATCCGATGTGCCCAATGTGTTGTAGCTGGACGAACAGGCGAAGCAAGAAGTTCAGTAAAGATTGAAACTATCAACTTTAATTCTTCGTCGTAAACGATCTCGGAGGGAAGGTTCGCAAGCATTAGAACAGTTTCAAGAATCGTAAGACTTGATCTTAGGAGACTTTCGATGGTGTTCACCAGTAGGTATCGTTCTTCATCGCTCAACTTCAATGGATAAACACTCCTACATCGCCGTAGTACTATGTAGACAAGTTTGAGGACGTCAATCGGCCAAGTTGCTTTGGTCCTCCGTTTGAGAGTTTCAACGACCGGAAAACATTCTGAAGAAAGTAGGTTTCTGAGAGGTTCAAGTAGCTGAAGGGTCGTCTTGGTCGTTTTAGAGTTATCAGGTAAAGCCTGAATCAATGCCAGTAGCATTGAAATTCGGACGGAATGGATATTGACCATAAATTCACCTTCACGATTCTCACTCGCGATCCTATGTGACAAGGCGAGGATAGATTGAGAAAGTGGTTTTGTTAGTTGATCGGATAAGCTGGGTTGTCGAAGTGCCACCTCTAATAAACCTTGCCAGGCTTGAGTTACTTCCAATTGAGCATCAACAACTGACAAATTCCAATTGATGGCCACCAGATTCTTTAAAACTTCATCCACAATCTTTGGTGATGCTCCACTACCCTCAATCTTATAACTCATCATCTCATAGTCATACACAAAACTCCTTCCATAATTACGCACTTTTTCATGAGGTAAGATTGATTGAACCCTTCGATAGGATTCCAAGTCAAGGTTTGGGGATCGATGACAGATCTCTCGGAGTGCTTCGGATTGTAATTCAGGATCAGCCATGCTTTCGATGGTTGAAATGATCAATTCTTTCATACTGTCATCGGATTTTTGCATTTCTTGAATCAATACATCTTGAATCGGATGGGTAGCACTTGGAGCCTTGGAGTTAGATGCTTCAACTTGAAGCAATACAGTTAAAATTCTAGTCGAATACGCTCGACAGATAAGCTCATCACAGTGATGCTTGACTTGAAGTTCTTCTACCATACCAAATATACTTGAATCGGGATTAGGATCGAAAGGTGCGAGGCGATTGTCCTTGAGATCGACCAATATTTGTGGAGTGATGATCAGGCTTGTACAGATACTGATGATCCGATCTGTGAACGCCTTATTCTCAGCCATACTAATCAAGGTTGGTTCGAACTCATTAACGCGCCCATGGACTGTGTCCAAGAAAGACAAGACGCTCAACCCCAAAGAGAGATTGACAGCCTCATCATCCTGAAAGCACTTGACAAAGGCCTCGATTGCGATCTGCAGTGCACTTTCAGGTGAAGATTTAGTAGCAGGGATAAGGTGAGATGGATCGGAGGCACTCCAGCCGGGTAATGACAATTGTCCCGTGATCAAGATGGCCGCAAGCGAAGGTTGAGTGTCAACAATAACAGCCAAGAGATCCCACAGAGTTGATTGTAAGTCTAGACTTTCCTGCTCGTTACCCATTGAACCTTCACGAGCCAAACTGAGTAAAAATTCACTCATATCTACCGGATCTCCAAAGCTAGCGCTAATCGATGGCCAATCCGAAGACCAATCTTTTGAAAGCTTGCAGAGTAAAGAAAGGACTTCGCATGCAGTTTTGGCTATGTAATCGTTCGGTCCATCCAAACACCAGTATGCAATGTAAGGTAATGCGCTTTTCAAATGAGCATTTTTCGAAACACCGCCAGGCGCACTTGTCCGGATTGACTGAGTCAAGAGTAATCTTTCGAGCATGCCGGCTTGATTGGAAAGGAGGTGATGTGGCCTTAACGCCAAGATGTTTTTGGCCAGTGCGAGTGATGAAAAGATTGATTCTACCAGAGCATCATACTCTACAATACGATGTGTGCGCTGTAGGACCTCTAAGACTTCGGCATCGGTCGTGATCAACATGATCATGGGATTGAGAGTGATCGCAACAGGAGAGGTAACAAAGGCTTCGGAGAAAAAAGCAATTATCTCGCGTGCAACCAGGTCAGTTTTGAGGTCGGGTATGTTCAAATGTGTTTTCAAAGCCTGAGACGCGATCGCATTGAATATTCGACAACATTTGGTTGCAAATCGGAATTTGACATCCAAGTCTACATACTTCCAGTTCTGGAAGCCTGGCCAAATTTCATCTCGTATCCAGATAAGAGCTCTGAGGAGAACTTCGGTTTTGATCTCAGCGAATGCTGGATTGGTGGCTAAGCCTGAAGTCGTCGCCTCGAAGATAAGCATGTGGGCTGTATCCAATGCTGAAAGGGTAATCCCATAACGACCAGAAAGACGCTCGAAGTTCAATAAGGGGGTTGATGATTCCACTTGATTCCAAGCCGTCTTTTTGGAGAGAGCCGGGAAAAGTACGCTTGAACCTCGAATCAACGTCCAGATCGCACCAGGAAAGATGGGTAAAAGAGCAGATACCAATCTCATAGCGGCTTCAGTAGTTTCGGTTTGTAAAGTCTGAGTGACTGAGTGAATAGAACTTTCAATGATGTTGAAAACCGCCTGGATGAAGACTAAATGTGATGCATTGCTGACGATCCGACGAATCAAGTCTGAGCCTGCTTCAGGTTTACTTTCAAGGAGTGCGGTCAACATTTGCAAGATTTCGACAATGATACTCGTGTTCACCTTGTCTTCTGCCCAATCTGGGTTGGCGGATTGGGTTGGCCTGAAGACATCATCGCCTGACATTTCGGTGTCTTCCGGGGGATGATATCCTGAATAGTAAAGTACGAGGTCGCCCCAATATTGCCATGCAGACCATGAATATTGCCAACAGATAACAACGGGGTTCTGATCAGCGCTGCTGACAATCTTACCCAAAGTATCCCTCGGTATATAAACACTAGGAGATATTTTGATTTCTCGTGTCGCTCTGACCCAGCCTTCACTTTGTGACATGAGATGATTTGTAACTTCCGATGAGTATTCTGGTGGTGTAGTAGGCTCATACGTGAGAGGAAGTAAACTTGATTGGGAGTTGGGAATTGCCTCGGTCAAGGTGCTGAGTTGATCTACGTATTGTACCAGTGATTGGACACAGAATCGTTGTTCGTCCGTCGGGTTCAGCTGACGTGTTTCACTGAAGCCGCTGACTGATCGACACATCTTTGTAAACAAGCTGACATTGATTGGAAAACGTGAACGAGCAGATTCGAGAAACTCGGCTTCTCCAGTTGCCAAAGGAAGGTCATTTTCGCTGATGTCACCAAGTTCTCCTCGGACTGCTTTCCAAAACTCACTAGCTATCGCGTGCTGAGTGTCTAGCCGGAAGAGTAATCCAAATGCATTGATGATACCTTCGAACTGCTGAGAGCTGAAATACATTAACCGGAAGAAGAGTGGCATAGCCGAGAACAGGACGCGGATAGTGACGAGGTAGCCCAAAGCATTGTTGTCGGGTGCGCCAAAGCGCTTGTGATGACCAGATGAGTACACGGAAGAAATCAATTGACTTAGATGGTGAAAGAGTTCACATTCAGCCGATAGGACGTGGCGTCCCCATCTCTGATAAAGCGGTAGACTTTCATCCGATTGTTCCATCTCTTCATCGCCCTCTTGATCTTGGAAATCGTTTGCACGCCGTAAGGGAAGGATCAACTCCGCAAATCCGGTATGCGAGGGGGGTATGCCATTTTCCAAGTAAACGACAGTCATCTTGTGTAAGACAAACGTCCAGGCTAGAGCAATTGGTGCCACCTTGAGAGGATGACTTTGAAGCAATTCCATCTGAAGATC